TTGCGCTTTTGATTTCCGCATGGGGCATTTAACCTACTTAATAAAAACACAGAAAATTTTTCATTGACTCGCCCGGTTTTCGTTTTCATCTGCATTTCATTGACTCACTGACTGACTGCCTGACTGCCTGATTGATTGACTGAGCTATGTATGTTGAAGTAGCTGCAGTTAGGCAAATGAGTTGCAGTGAACCGGAAATTTACAATTAAACATTGAAGCTCTAACCAACCCGCCCCGCTCCGAACCTTAACTATGCAAAGACCCAGCCCCAAAATGAAAACGTTTTTGGTTAGCGCCAAATCGGAGACAAAGTCGACGTGCGACGTGCAACGTTCCACCTGATTGAAGACTGGACAGAGCTTGGGCGCAAGACTTCGCCTATAGCTTCTTGAAGCATCAGACATATAAACAAAATTTAATGTAATTGTTAATACGTGTTGTTCTATAAACGCTTGTTCATATCTCTAACCCTCAGGCTATGAAATTATGATCTACCCGGCTACGTGATATCCATTTAGGGTTTTAAGGGCTTGGTAACCATTTTTGGGGCGATTACAGTTACCATTTGTCGTCGTCGACGACGACGCTGTCTGACGGTTCGTCTTACCAAAATGACATGTGGATAGCTTGTAAATTTAGTAAGTAAAACAGATAACTGTAGTTTCACTTTTTTCATTATTTTTTTTTGTTGTGTTTTATTTTGGTGTGCCCAATTCCTGGAATGGATCGGGTTCGCTTAAATACATAAATATTATCTATGCATCATATTTATGTGAAATCAGAACGTGACTGATGAGCCACAGCTTTGTCATTTGATCCATTGACTGCGAATGCCCGACTAGCAGTAGCCCTAATAATTTATGATTCTCTCCTGAAACTCAAGGGATAAGAATGTATAAAAAGTAAACACTGTTTCTGAGTATCTAATAGTAAGATAAATACGAAAATGAAGCTTATTATAAACATCATAATGCAAATAAAATGATCTATTCGAAATTTAAGTAAACCTATGATTGAAGAGTAATACCATTTCTTTCAGTAACTCCATCTCCTTATCTACATTTTCTCCCTCTTCCAGCTGGTGAATTAATCAAATCCTTCAACAGATTAAACAAGTATATTTAAGTAATCACCAATTTGATTTACATATATGTACGACTGGATGGTTAGCGAAGAGTGCGGCCATCATCTGCAATAAGCCATCGTTGAATGTAAATGTGATTTGCAGGTGGTCGCTAATCAACGAGCTTTGAGCGAAACATCGTTAGCCAAACGCAAAGCACTGCACATGCTAACCGGGCCAAGAGTAAATAAACGCAGCAACTGCCACCCAGCCAAGATGCAAGAGATGCCAACAGACAGCAGCAGGCAAGAGGCAAGTTCTAAAGGCAATCAAGAGGAGCGACCACTGTGTGTGTCCACTGGTTGGCAATGCCTCACCTGGCCGGTTTTGTCGACTAGGCAACGCGTAATGAACCTGACTTTACAGTTAGTCAGTGCTGACGTTTAGCTGGGTCAAGGTCAGACAGTTTATTTAGCCAGATGATCGAGTGCTGCATCTCGCTTTCCTTCAGGTGTGTCTATGAGGGCAAAGCCCAGGTGTTTTATGGCTGAGCGAAACAACAGCAGTTCGCTGAAGCCAACTGCGGCATACTCTCTTTACAGAATTCTTATGCGAAACGAATTCGCCGTAAGAGCACATGCACTTACATACACACATACATATATGTAGTTCCCGCAATAACAATACGATTAGTCCAGTCGGCAGCGATCCATACGCTATTTGATGTATGTATGTATGTATGTATGTATGCACATTAATTATTGTTGCTTTATTTCAGCTTTAGCTTCTACTTCAACTTGTAATTAGTATAGAAATTGAACAAAACCAATAACAGCATATCCAAATTCGCTATAGTCCTTTGGCAGCATAAGTATTCAAATTTGTCGTGACATAATCACACGCAGTCAAGCAAAAGCAATTAACTGTTGCTTCTTTATTACTTCTCCCTTTTGGGCAGCTTCGAATATGGATTTCCAATTGTCAATTCTCACTTACCTGCTTTGATCAGCTCATTCGCAAGCAGCGCTTTGACCGTGTGTGTGCGTGATTGTGGGTTTGATGCCATATTTAAGCATGTGTGCATACTTGCATTTGCATGCTGCAACACATGCATACTTATAAATGGTGCTGTCTCTTTCTCGCCAACAACCCATTGCTCAATTCTTTTTCACTTAACTCATTTAATTTAGCACTTTATAATTTCACAAAAAAAATAAAAAGAATATCAGATGCCCAACAATTTCGTTACTTAAGAGAACTTGGCATATTTTATTTCATAAGCACATTTTACACGAATTTTCATAATTTACACACAACATTTTATACCGCGTGATTTGCTAAAGATAAACTGCTAAAGCAATCGAAATCACTAAAGATGAACCAACGAATCAGGAGACATACATACCAATAGCAAATCTTATCGATTGCTTGTAACTTAATATGTGTTCGTATGCTAATTACTTCTGCTGTTAAGCTGTAAAATCAAGTATCGATAATTATGAAATTAGTCACTTGCGATGAGCGCCTTATTGAATATACTCCTCTCTTACATTTGTAAGCAGAGTATAAAAAGAGTATTAAAAAGCAACAACATATATACAAAGGTGCCTTTGCTGCTGCATTTGGCGCTGGCATTCGGCAAACCACGTTCCTTTTTGCTTTAATATTATTCAAGCAAAACAGACGTCAACATGAAGCTGAGATTTTTCACAAGAAATTATCGATGCGCAGGCGAATAAGGCGAAAACAGGCGCAGGCTCACTGGTCGTCGTCGCCGCAGTCGACGTCACCGGCTCGCTCGGCTCATGTTTTGTCAATTGTTGCTGTTGTTGCTGCAGCCGTTGTTGCTGCGAGTGACGTTTGCGTGACAGCGACGGCGGCGGCAACATCTGGACAATTGCATTGACTTTGACCAGTTGCCAATTTTGGCAATCTGACTTTCATTTTATTGTTTTGTGTTTTTTTGCGCAGACTGTTTATAACAAAGGGTATCCCAAAGCTATCCCCAATCGTGCGCTGCCTCTCTCCCCCACAATATATTGCTCTACTCTCGAACATGTTATCCAATTAATAACGAGAAAAATCTAGCATGACTGAAAGAAGCCAGCAATAAAAAATTTACGTGTCTACCGTTTAATAATAATAAATTGAGAAATAAACTAGTATTCAGTATTTATATAAAGTGTTGTTTATTACAATCCATTCATAAGCCAAATTTTAAATAGGCTTTAAAAATATGAGCCTAAAAATAGACTTCATATAATTTTCATTATTTGTAAATTTCAAATGAATATCGTAAAATGGTCTGCCGATAGTCAACAGCATTACTGCTCAAAATTGCGCTCATATCACACAGTTCGCGTATCGATAAATTAAGTGGCAATAACAATGAACAAAATATAAGGTTTTATTATCAATAATATCAAAAATAAAATGAGTCTGCCAAGAAGTAATCATAGCCTCATTGCTTAAATTGTCGTTGATGGCAAACACACACCTATCGATGTATCGATAGCTAAATAATAGTACACTAGAGGCCGGCGATAACCGCCTGGTGCAGTTGCGTGAATTTCGTGAATTTAGTCTAAAATTTCAATAATTGTTATGGATCTGAAGCTAAATGATGGCAGCCAGCCGCAACAGCCACCGCCGCCCAATCAACATCCATTGGTAAACAAATTAAACATAATTCCAGTCAACTTCTGACCGTGCAAACACCTTGTTGTAGGCGGATTATCATTTCAGCCAAGAGGAGCTGAAGGCGTTACGTGAATGCAATCAGGAATCGTTTGTGCAACGCTCGCTCCCCTTTGGCACCGGTCTGGGTCTGTTGGCCTACTTTGGCGTCAAAAATGGCTACATTCAGGGTAACGGCAAATATGGGGCAGTGCCCAAAGTTGTGCTGGGCGTTATCCTCGGATATTTTGTTGGCAAATTCAGTTATCAGCAGAAGTGTGCAGAGAAAATCATGCGCCTACCCAACTCGCGGTTGGGTGAACTGTTGCGACAGCGGCGGCAAGGCGGCGGCGTCATTAGCACCATAACACCGGATGAGAATCTGGGACGCGCCTTCACCTTGGCGCCCTTCTCGCCCAGCTCCGCGGATGTCTACACCGACGAGGCCTACCAGCCAAAGAGAAGCACCGCTCTCAATCTGGATACTGAGTCACGACCCACGCTTGCTGGATTAGATGATATTTATAGGCCGACACTGGACTGTGAGCATTGAGAAATATTTGTGTAAATGCTTAAATCATCTGATTTCACACTCTCTTTTTATCAATAGCTAATACTATGGTGGACACTGAGCTGCCTCTAGAGCCGGCCAAGCCCGGCGAGAGCTACGAGGATTTGCGTCGCAAGAATCGCGAGGAGTACGCAAAGCATCAACAGAGCGCCTACTCCAGGCCCTACGAAGTGCCCATACCCCAACAGCAGCAGCTACAGCCGCCCCAAAGACCCCTGGCTCAAGAGCCCATTCAAGGCAGAAAGAACAAATACGGCGATTCCTGGACAGATTAACCAGCATTCGATCTTCTAAATGCAGCGTCAAGTCTCTTAAATTAAATGCAATTGTTAATTTAAACGCTGATTGCAAAGCGTAATACATAAAAAACTTTACAAATATGTTTGTTAATAATTTTATAAGCGAAAAGATCTGAAATTTGTCAATAATCGTTTAAAATATTAAGCTTTATGTGCAAAGTTGTATAAGACAGCCTGTATAAGAGTAAGAGTATAAGGCTAGACTAAGCAACGAATATGTAGCCACGATTTCTGTATCAGTTTAACAAACTCTTCTCTAAATGTAATTGTTTATTTTATTATCAATATAAAGCGCATAAACAAAATATTTTTTAAATATCAATAATATATAGAATTTGTTAATATTCGTTTGTGATGTTGCATCATGTTGTTTGGTTAAGAATCCGGTTTCGTCATTTACAATTTACCCACCTCATGCAAATAGGCGCCCAGTAGCTTCGTCTAAAATATAAATTAGTTGTATGATAGAGGCAGTGTATGAGAGTGGTTCAGCATATACTAACGCCTTCTATGTAGTTGTAGATGTCGATCTTCTCGTTTTGTGAGTGAGCACCATCGTCGCAAGCGCCGACTGGCACCAGAATCACATTCTTGCCAGTGGCCTCCTGCAGGGTTAAGGTAACGGGAATGGAGCCACCTTCACGCGTCATATCGGGATCCACGTTGAAGACATGTTTGATGGCACGCTTGGCGGCCTCGTAATGCGGATGATTGGGATCCTCGGTCCAGGGTTTGCCGGCGGACAACATGACAACCTATTGAGGAGATTGAACAATAGATGAGCTCGGGCACAGAGAAAACTTCGTTACATCCAAACATCTTCAAATCTATACAACTGTCCCTCTCTTATACATCGTTCCCCCCCTTCCTTCCTAAGTACCTTCATTTTGTTGGGCGATCCACGCTCTGCCCACTTGTCGTTGATGTACTTGGTCACGCATTCCTCAATATGCTTGGGATCCTGATCGGGCACCAGGCGAATGGAAAACTTGCCAATGACCTTCTTGGGTATGACAGTCTTGGCGCCAGGCTCATAGAAGGCGCCCTCGATGCCATGGATGGACAGACTGGGATAACGCCATCTGGCCTGCAGCAGGCGCGTCTTATCTCCATTATGGGGCAGGTGGTCGACGCCAACGTCTTTCCTAGAAGCAGCGATTAAGTTTTAGGTTCAGTGATTTATGTCATTAGATGAGATAAGATTAGATTAGCTAACTTGTATTCGTTGACTTCAAAGTCGATGTTCTTGTAGATTTCCTCCTCATTGGGCAATTTGGCAGCCACCTAGAAACAGATTAAACATAGATTAGATGCAGATTGGAGTACAGAAGCCTCACTCACATCACGATCCACACCGGGTATCAGGATCTTTGTGTCCTTGTCTACCAGGGTGCTCAGCAGGTAGCACAGATCGGGCATGGCCTCGTGCACCGTGCCGCCAAAGACGCCGCTATGCAGATCCTTGGTGGCGCACTCGACCTCCACCTGGAAGTAGGCCAGGCCGCGCAGTCCATAGGTAAGGCAGGGACGCTTCTTGCCTAGCCAATAGTTGTCCGAAATGCAAACAAAGTCCACATCCGCCAGAAAATCATCTTTGCGTGCCATCAGCAGCTCATCGAGTCCCTCGCTGCCGCTCTCCTCCATGCCCTCGAAGACGAACTTCAGGTTCAATGGGAGCGGTATATTCAGCTTCTGGAATGCTTCGATGGCATGAATCCAACAGAGCACTGGACCCTTATCATCCGTGGCGCCACGTCCGTACAGCTTGCCATCGATTTCAGTCAGCTCAAAGGGATTCGTATTCCAGCCATCCTCCTTTAGGGCGGGCTGAACGTCCAAATGTCCATAGACCAGCACCGTTTTCTTGCTTTTATCCTGCCCCAAGGTGCCCAGCAAAGCCTTTGGCAGTGGAATCTCCTCTCCCGTGGGCAGCTTCTGTTTGCCCAGATCAACCAGCTCGATCTGTGTGCCCAATGCCTTTAGCTTTTCCGCCGTCCAGTTGACCATGTGATCGATCTCGCCCCGCTTCTCCGGCCAGGCCGAGACGGATTGAATGGCCACTGCGGTTCTCAGGGTCTCAATGTAATCGGACTTCTTGCCATTGACAAAGCTGCAGGGTGATAAATATTATATATAAATCGTGTGAATTTCTCTGATAACAAAATGTAACTGTATATGTGTAATATAGAAAGATATAAAAGTCGTGTTACAAGCGCTGATAATGCAACAAAAATGTCTGCGGTTTAACCCCTGCTAATCAACGCGGTTACTATACCAGCTCAGTTTCTGATTAGACTGCAATATAAGGCTCACACATTGCAATCTAATCATAATGTGTTTTATGTGCTCTATTATCTTAACTCTGAGAACTATTATAGAGACTTTCTTTCAAAATTCGTAATTCTTGGGGTCCCTAACAAGCTGAACGCAGACTGTTGTGAATTTGTTAATATTATTTGTTACAGTATTAATTAAAGTTTTTACTTGTCTTAATACATAACTAGTTCGTTTTCTTTTTTTAGTGCTGAATATTTCTATTCTACAATTTAAATTTGATTTATAAAAATATTTTAGTTATTTTATTTATTTTCTTCTGATTTTATTTAAGTCTATATTATTTATAAGATCTTCTCAAATATATCTTTAAAATTATTTTATACATATGTAAATATTTTTGCACAGGATCTCAACATTTTATATACCGCAAAATTCCTCTTTTTAATATGCCAAATCAAAGCGCATTCAAAACTCACTTCTTGTCTAAGCATTGTTATCTTATTTTATCTTATTGGAGCACTGCTGTCTGATTGGCAGACAACACAAAACAGGCATTGTTATTGCTATTGTTGTTGTTGTTGTCTTTTGTGTGCATTTTCTAACGTCGCCAGCTGAATGCAAAAAAGAAAATGGTTGCAAAATACGAATACGTGAAATTCGTGAAGCTTTATATTTAGGGCTTGGTGCTTGGCTTAGTGCAATTTTTCAATCACAAATCACAACTTTGATGGACGTGCACTTTCCATTTTTTATTTTCTACGCTTCTGCTAAAAAAAAAATAAATAAAAACAAGTCTTATCGGCGATTGCTGTTGCCGCCCTTATTATCAAGTATAAAGTATGAATGTTCCGCAAACAAGCAGATAAGCAGGATATACATACGTACACACATTCATACAATAAATATGTATGCAACCGTGTCATCGCCATCCCGCATCCAACAAAAGCACGCACACTCACACACACACACAAACACACACGCATAGAAAGATATTTGCGGATCTTTTCTTATTACTCACTCAAATAACTGTTTCAATTCATTGGGTAGCGACGCCATTGCTTCAACTTTGGTTTGATTGAAACGATGTAAATTAGAAACGATTCCTCCTGCAGACTTGATTGACTTGCACCGGAATTTTAAACGTCTTCCCGTTTCGGCTTCTAAAGTGGGAATGAATAGTGAACGTGCAATACGAAAGAAAGAAAACGTTCGTACATACATTGTACGTATGTATAAGTACATCCGAGAGTGAGAGAGAGAATATGAGCGTGCGTGTATGTGTGTGAATAGCCTGCTGAGAGTCAACAAGTTAGACGTGTACGAGTAAACAAGTGCACAACTTGCCGGCTTTTCATACCACATGATGTACATAGCAAATATTAATATGCCATCGATATTACAACAAATTAGTATTAAACAAATTTATTTATTGTTATTTCTATTGAAAAGACAACAAAAAATGTATTATTTAATTTATAAATCATAGCGATGAATCGCTTGTTATCGATACTTGAAATCGTGTCATACCTAACCGATCACATATTGACCGACCGCCACATTCTATCGGCCATCATTTGCCGCAGTTAAGATAAAAACGCAAACGCAAACGCTGCAGTAGTCGCCACATTCGCGAGTTAATTGCATTTATAATTATGTCACAAAGCTGATAAACACTTCATCAAACGAAAAACAACAGCAAGTGCAAGACGAAACGGAGCGTCAGAGGTGTGTGTTTCAGCAGTGTGTGGGTGTAGCTTGTTTATTAATTACTGTGTACATGTATGCGTGTACCGTTTTCTGTAGCTGCAGTGCTGTCATCTTTGTGTATATGTATTTATGCATATGTGTGGCGTTTGCATTTGTCAAGCTCTCGGTGTGTGTGTGTGTGTGGGTCTCTGCCTTTATGTATATATATTGTATAATTGTATCTGTGTGTGTTTTTGTGTTAAATTATTTGTGCTAAAATTTACATATTTGTGACTTTCACTCAAAGGACTTATCCTTTTTTCGTGTCAGCCATTTGGACGGTCTCGTTGTATTCGTTTTGTAAACTCATTATAATAAATTTCAGCGACTAAAATAGAACATATTGCGTGCCGCTGTGGTTGTGTGGCTGTTGACTCCAAATACCAGCGACCGCTGCCGCTGTCGCTGCTGCTGCTGCTGCTGCAGAGCGAGCGGCATAGTCATGTTTTTTTCTGTGACTGCGACTTCTTGCCGTTTAACGTGTCGCTCGGTTTCTCACTTTGCTCCCCTTTTTGGTGTCTCTCTGCGACGGGATTATAAATAGTTGGCGTTTTGGTTGTTGTTGTTGGTGTTGTTGTTACTGCTGTTGCTCTGCCGGAGTCGGCTGCCTGGGGCGCTGCTGTTGCTGCCAATTATTTGTTTGTGTAATTAGTTCCAAGCTGTGTCATGTTATGGGAATTAGACGTGGAAGAAAAAGAACAAACTGCGTTCATCAAAATGAACAACAACTACTACACGTTAAACAACGGCGAAAAGTTAGCAAAGCGGAACTGGAAACGTAGACGTCAGTCGGTGCCGTTAGAGCGGCTCCCAGCTTTTAAGCTGCCGCGACTAAGCACCAGCACCAGCAGCAGCAGCAGTGACTGCGGCAGCGGCAAATATGGCGCACACCAAAGACCAAAGAAATGAAAGAGCAAGAATAACAGTTATGACGAAGTTTCAACACCCTATTTCCAACAGGTTTATTGTTTAAGCTAAAGTGATATAATTCCAATGAAAACAAAATGTTTATTGTTGCAGAGCGCTTTATATGATATTTGAGACATACACATGTACGGGCTTGTAGTAATAACAAACAAACATATCTATAACAAGCTCTGATCGAATTCTTGACTAAACAATAACAATGATCATATACCCACCGCGGTAGGGTATCACAAAAGCAAACTCCAAATAGCGCTCAGCAGCTCTAAAGCTCAGCAAAGGCAACGGCAACGGCAGCCACTGCGACTGCTGCTGCTGCTGGTGCTGGTGCTTGTACTGTTTGTTGTTGTTATTATTTATTTGCCGTCTGCTATGGCAGACATTTTTGCCTTGCCTCCCACCCTCATGCTTTGGTCGGTTATACATGATTTGTCGCCTTGACGCTGCCCAAAACAGGCAAACGATCTGCAGCCTGATATTCGCCCCGTTTTCGCCGCGCAGAATTTCCGCTTTGCATATATGGCGAAAATAATATAAGAGCCATCGCCCATTAGGCTTATGTATGCTGTTTTTTTTTTTTTTATTATTATTATTTTGTTTGCCTCTCTTTTCCACGATTACAAATGACTGCATTTCTCTTTTGCACGCCATTCCAAATGAACACAACAACAAGTCAAGCGCAGTGGGCGTTCATTTGTACAGCAAGATTTTATTTTCACAGTTAAATGATTTTCAGATACTTACTAGTTTGATTTACTTGTCTCGATTTGTCTTTATTTTTTTAATTTGTAATTTATTTCTTATATTTGCTCTCGACTTTCGATTATAAATAGAGTGAACCGTATAAATTAATAGAAAAGTGCACCATAGAAATTAGCAACAACAAAAATATAGACATATAAATATAGAAGAAAAGAAAAACGAAAATACTTCGTATTTGGCAGCCGAAAGCACTTCCCATGGATCGAAGCTTGGATTCCATTGGCAGCTGTTCGTTAGATGTTGATGCGGATTCATCCGATATATCAGGTATACCAATACACGCACACGCACACGCACGCTTACCTAACCTCAATGTTGTGTATGTTGTTTTTCTTATTTGATTTTGATTTTGTTTTTTGTTATTGGATTTCTTTTTATCATTGCTGTTTTTTTGTAGTATTTTTTGTTGTTGATTTCTGCATTGTTTTTTTTTCGTTTATCGTTTTCTTGTTCGCTTCTCTTAATTTGCATTTATTAAACTTTCAAACCATTTGCAGATACCAGCGGCAGTCTCAACTTTCCCACACCGCTTTCAGTTAAGGACATAACACGCGAATTTACGGCGAATATTAAAGAGCGTTGCACTCTGCGCTCGCCGCAACAACAGCAACAACAACAGCAGCTGCAGCAACTCCACCAACAACAACAGCTGCCACTGCCCTTGCAGCTGCAGCGGACATTCACCACAACCGCCTACGTCAATCTGGATCAGCGAACGGGCGGTGTTCGCATGGTGCTGTCACCGCCTGCCACCAGCGACTTGGTCGATGTCGATTCGCAGGATCAACAGCTGCAGCAACAGCAACAACAACAACAGCACAGCAACAACCTCATTGCGGATGCTGCGGAGAAGAAGCCGAGCTATTTGAATCTGGCCTGTTGCGTCAATGGCTACTCAAATCTAACCACCTACGACTCGAAAATACGCCAGGACATCAACAAATCGCGTGAAGTGTCGCCCATTCGTCCCTCAACGAGCAGTCTGCAGTATTGCAAGCGCAACAATCAGCTGGCAGCGCCGGTCCTGCACACAATGCCGCTGACCAAGCAGCCGGCCACAACGGCGATGGCCAGCAAATACAACGAAACAAACAATAACGGCAACAGCAGCAGTAAAAATGGCCATTTGGAAAACGGAGATTTGGCCTATTGCAATGGCGGCGAGCCGAGCAAATCGGCGACAGCCACCAGCAGCTTTATACAGCAGCGCGTGGAGCGGCTGTACGGGCCGGGCGCGTTGGCTCAGGGTTTCTACAGTCCCAAAAAGCAGAGCTCATCGAGTGCGAAGCAACAGCAGTTGCATAAACACCAGCTGGATTCGCCCAGCTCGACGGAGCTGTCACGCAAATTCAAGCAATTGTCGCCCAGCAAGGATTACGGCGAATTCCGCAAGAAGCTGCAAAGCAATTGCACACGCTCCCAATCCGAGCAGCCGGTCAGCAAGACAAACAGCAGCCAGGCTCCAATGCAGAATGGCGACACGGATTTGCCAGTGTTTCGTCATCTGAGCCACGAGTTTCGTGCCCAGCTGCCGACGGTGTCGCCCAAGCGGACGGTGCCACGTGTCTCGAACGGCACTGATGATGATCAGGTGGATTACTTGAAGCCGGCGAGCACCGAGGAGTACATGAGCACCACCAAGATACGAACCGTTGGCGCTGGCAAGGATAACGGCGCTGAGGCTCAGCCGAGTCCTGCTGTGAGCGAGGAGAGCAAAACTGTGGTCAAGGATGGCAATTACTTCCTGAAGATACTCAAGGATGAACAGATACGTCTGATAGCGCTGGCCGCCGTTGCCGAGAAGTATATAGATGCCTTGACTGTAAGTTGAATGAATTGAATTGAGGATCTATATATAGTTAGATAATGTATAACAACTCTTGCAGAACAATCCTGATATAACGGAGGACACGTTTGGCCTGCTGCGCTCAGCTGCGGGCAAGGCCCGACTGCTGGCCTCACAGAAAATGAAACAGTTTGAGGGTAAGCCCAGGGCCGGAGTATGACAAGGACTATAAATCAAGCTAGGCTCAACTCAAGGCTATATACTACATGCAGATGTCCTTATATATACCATTCCCTATATCTCAATTGTAATAAAGAATAAGTCTTAAGCTTTTGTTAAACTCTTTTTAGGTCTGTGTCACAACAATTTGAATCGCTCGCCGGAGGATGCATTTCCCACAACTGTCGATGATTTACAGGGCTTCTGGGACATGGTCTATCTGCAGGTGACGCACGTGGATAGCATATTTGCCGACATTGAGAAACTGAAGAGCAATGACTGGCAGGTGAGTGAATGCCGTAGGATAACTAATTGCGAATCGAGTTAATAAATCCATCTAAATATTGCTTGTAGCACACGGCTGAGCCCGTTGTGGAGGTATCGACGGCGCCTGTTAAGATAACAAAATTGAACACAAAGACTGGCAATTCGAAGGCGAAAGGAGCGGGCACGGGAACTGCAGCCGCTCTGGGACCATCGAGTGCTGTTGCGGCCATGAAGCGGGAGGCGCAACGTAAACAGTTGCTGGAAATGAAGCGTTTGCGACGCGAGCAATTAGCTGCAGCAGCCAAAAGTCAAGCGGCCTGTGATGATGGGGCAAACATTGGTGATACTGTGAATAATACCGTGAAGAACAGCAGCGACCACAGTAGCTGAATCGTGCTGAACCAATACAACAACAACAACAACAACTACTACTACAACAATAGCAACAACAACATGCTCTCTAGTTACATCATAATACATAAAATTAACTCACATACTCACTCACTTACGCATACAAGCACACACACACAACATACTTAGAAATTCCTAGTTGAATGAATCCTTGACTAGTCCCAACTAACTATATTTATATATATGTACACACATATATATAGAAATACATAAATAATACAATTGATTTGGATTGTGTCACAAGCAACGACAACAACATTATCGGTACCCATAAATATACAAACCTAACAAATCTAACAAACAAATCTACAGAAAACACTCTACACATATATATATATATATATATATAAAACTTTGTATATGTATTTATATATATAGAAAGTTATCAACGATCGTTAACGGCTCGTCGTGCGTTGTTTATAAAGTTTGCCTTATCTACGTGTTTTTTGCTCGTGTTAAATCATTTTTGCTGTGCACCGAAAGAAAAAATAAAAAGAGTGTAAATTTTTACTCGTGCAACACACTCACATACACACACATGCATATATATATATATAAACATAAAAGACATTTATTTTTGTGTAATTGTATTTAGCGAACTAAGTAAGCAAATGAAAGCAAATCACAAAAGTGAAAATTTTATAAAATGAATCTAAATTTGATAAACAATTATTATATTATTTCTCGGCCGATTTAGCTGCATGTATTTTTGAGATTAATTTCACTTTGTTGTAAATGCTGTATTGCTAGCAAACCTAGAAACAGGGGACATACACACACACACACATAAACACACCTACCCGGAAATACCAACAATCTCACTCTTAATTAATTTATAATGTTTTTGTAATAAATTATTTTTCACTTAAATGAATTATTTTTCAATTCCATCTCGCTTTTTTTTTAGTGTAAAAAATGAAGTTTACTGTAGTCTAAAGTCATTTGTTAAACGTCTGTCTATAGGGCAACGAAAAGAAATTGAAGGAAAACTGAATAAAATAGACTTATATATGATCATTTGGGCTACAGTCAAGATCATTAATATATGTTAATGAAATATATATACACATGTACGTATACATATTTGCTACATAAGCAAATGCTTAAGGCTTTGAAATTCAAGTGACGCTCAAGTGGATATGATAAATTGATATTTGTTAAAGAGCTGAGTTGCTTCAATGAATTCCTTGAATTATATGCAGTTCCTAGTGCTATAACTTTAAATTGAGAAAAAGTGTTATTAAAAACACTAAAATTGCTATTATATGTAAACTTATAATATCAGCTCAGACTAAAAAATCTTAGGCAGCGCTAAAGTCCTCCAGACCCATTGATGTGTGAGTGGCGCCATCTATGTGTCAAGTCAACCACTTATTAAGCATTGCCAAAAGCCAGCTATGTGTCAGTCGCAAAATCGAAGCTAAATGATATTTTAACTAAAAATTAAATGTTAAAAAAAATCCCACAACTTATTTAATATTTTTTATTTATTTTTTTTTATTTTTTCAAAGCGATTGTAAACATTTTTTTATAAAATCAAATATCCCAAATTTTTCAAAAAGTTTTCCCTTTTTTTTTTAAGAAAATAAGTGTCTTTTTTTATTTTTTAAATCATTTTTATTTGGCTTCTATGGTAGGACTTATTGTTTAAACTATTTGTAAGTACAAATTTGCTTCAATTGCATTTTGCATTGCTCATCAGCGTTTCATCAAGCAACTAAATTACCGTAATACTACGACAGACACACATATATATTTATATGTATATATATATATGTGTGATCAGATATATATATATATGTGTGTTTTAGAGCGCTTCGTTAAACTAAATTCATCTCTAACTATTTAATGTTTTGGGCAATAAATATTAAATTTATGTTCATATATATATTTATTTATATATATATTAGATTTGTTTATTTAATGCGTATGCTAGTTTTATATATATATGCCCAGGTGCATATATGTATCTATATATATTATGTATATATATAATAAGTATTAACAATATGTTTGCTAAGTTTCTAGTTATCAATATTTACAAATGAATTTTTCTTTACTTCTTTTTTTTTATCGTTTTTTGATATATAGAAAACAACATTTTGGATCTGAGAGCTGCCAGCAAGACCAACAAGAAAGAGTGCGCTAGTCGGTAGTGCACGACTAGTGAATACCCTGCAGCCAGAGTGGGGAGCTATGACATTGGGAGAACTGACTGAAATTCTAGGAGCATCAAGTTAATAAACAATAAAAGTTAAAGTTGGATTTTGGTTTTAGCTTTTAAAAATTTAAAATAATTCGACGTTTCGTTTTCATAACAAAAGTTTATATACCAAATTTGGTAGCTCTAGCATTAAAAACACTCAAGCTAGCCGTGTAAAATATAGTAAAAAATAACGATATGTGTCGATATAATAGAAACGATAAAAGTTATTAGATGAAAATATTATCTTTTAGCTGCGTGAGGTAAACAGGAATATGCATGCAAAATTTCAGGCGTATACCTCTTATATTACGCGAGCTGAAAGTGCTAAAATGACGTATAAAAACAAACGCACACATAGACATGGCAAATAAGGACATACTCTGGCTCAGCCAAGTTTCCCCCTACCTGTAACAAACACTTGGATTAACTAATCTACCCTACCAGGTTCAACAGCTGCAGGGTATTCAAAGAATTAAAATTTAATAGGTAAGCGAAATTTGGAATTTTGATTTGGTTTCTAGATGCAACACTAAAAAAATACTTAATGCCAACTTGCTGCCACATCTCGTCTAACAACATTATCTTCCACTCCCCACCTCCTCCTGCTCCTCTTGCTCTACCATAATTTTTTTGTTTTTTTTTTCTGAGTATTTTTTTTTTTTTTTTTTAATTTGAATTTGAAGCTATTCATTGCTGGCATTGAACAGGTCCGCCAACGTTAATAGAGCCGCCGATCCATTGCCGCTCGCCTGCAACAATTGCAGCTCTATGGAGTAGGCAGCCGCAGCTGCCGCCGCCGCCGCAGCAGCAGCCGTTGCGGCCGCCGCCGCCGTTGCGTTCAGTTGCTCCCTCTCCAACAGCTGTTAGTCGAGATTGTGCGGCGGCGTGCTGTTCGGTCCGCCCAGCATAAACGATGTCGGACTGTGCACCGAAATGCTATCCAGATCCAAGGTGCCGTCGCCCTTCTCCATCAGCCCACTGCCGTCCTGTTTCATCATCATGCGACGCCATTTGGCTCGAGCATTCTGAAACCAAACCTAGAAATGTGAAGAAGGATATGAAATCATTAGAATTATATACCGAAACAGTATTTTTAGTATTTTTTTAGTATTTTTGTATTTAATAATATTTTTGTTGGTATTGATATTATTAAAGTATTTATTTAAGTATATAGAAATGCGAAGAGGGATATGAAATCATTAGAATTATATACCGAAACAGTATTTTTAGTATTTTTAGTATTTTTTCAGTATTTTTAGTATTTTATAGTATTTAGTAGTATTTTTGTTGTATTTATATCATTAAAGTATTTGTTTAGGTATCTAGAAATGCGAAGAAGGATATGAAACCAAACCTAGAAATATGAAGAAGGATATGAAATCATAAGAATGATATATCTAAATAGTATTTTTAGTATTTTTTAGTATTTTTCAGTATTTTGTAATATTTTGTAGTATTTAATAGTATATGTGTTGGTATTTATATTATTTAAGTATCCAGAAATGCGGAGAAGGATATGAAATCATAAGAATTATACATAGCATTTGTAGTATTTTAGTAAGAATTATACATAGCATTTGTAGTATTTTAGTATTTTTAGTATTTTTAGTATTTTTAGTATTTGTTAGTATTTTTAGTATTTTATAGTGTTTAATAGTATTTTTGTTGGTATTTATATTATTAAAGTATTTATTTAAGTATCTAGAGGCTTAGTCTCAAAAAAATCTAGTATTTTTAATCATTTTTCTAGTGCTTGGCATATTGATTCGTTCATTTGCCACACCCACCTGCAGCACTCTCTTTGGTAGGCCCGTTTTCTGTGACAATTGCTTCAGATCCTTTGCATCGGGATTGTGATTGATGGCAAAGTAGGACTTCATGGTGCGCAGCTGATGGTGCTTGAACGAGGTGCGCATGCGTTTGGTTCGCGACGAGGCGCTCATGTGGCTGCCACGACCAAAGTCCACATATTCCGTATTGAGATCTGCCAGCGGGGCAAAAGAAAAGGAAAGAGAGAGAGAGAGAGAGAGAGAGATATGATTTTACAGCTCAGTTTTATGATGGGGTTTTTATGGAGACTGGCGCCAGCTACGGATCAGCCATAAAGTGCTTCGACACATATATACACTATATATATGTATGTATATATATGTTCGTTCGTTCGCTCTTTGGTTTTATGTTTTTACTGTACCTATATTAGCTGTAAAGGCCTCGATATCCTTTGGCTTGCGTTTGCGCGGCCTCCCCTTTTGCCGTGCCGGCTGCGGCAAGCCCGTGATGACATGCGAAGTGGGCACAAAAATGCCCGTAGGAACAATACTGCGACTGGGATCCGAATGCGGACTCGATGAATCATTGTGCGGCGAACCGAATTGTGTGCTATAAGGATATGTGGCGCTCATGCTGGTCGACGATGCTGCGTCCCCCTCGCGCGCTATGCTATAGTGGGTTCTACAATGAGACAGAAAGAGAGAGAGAGAGAGAGAATCTGATTAGTTATCTATTCAATTGGTCACATCGAATTTCTAGCTCACCTGCAGTAGATAAGCGCATCGATAATGCCATATTGATCGCCCTTGGTTAGGGGCGTATGGCAGACGGTGCAGCAGAAACAGTTAACATGAAAAACTAAATTGCGAGCGCGCATTACCAGCTCGTTGGCGCTTATCGATGCCAGGCAGCGGGAACAGCGGCGTGTGCCAAAAAAACTGCAAAGAAAAGAGAGAAAAAAGCGAGTGAAATACAAATATTTAATCAAATACAATCATTCCAATATGAATAAGTCGAATATAAGAGTATCCAATTGGAGTTGGCTGGAACTAAACTGCAATGTCTAATAAGAACATGTTGGCAAGTTATATATTGCTAATCCAATTGGATAACAGAAAGTCCAATACTTTTGCCCAGTTTATCCCTCAACGATAAAGATTTTGTATATTTGCCGCGTAATTAACATAAATTAGCATAGCCTATCCAATTAGAGTTAATAACTGCCAATTTACATGTCAATACGATTATCCAATAAGAGCTGTTGGTCTATCAGCCATGTCCATAACAAAGGTTAAGCAATTTTTATTACATAAACAATGTTTCATGATTATCCAATAAGATCAAAGTGCTTGCTGTCATTTGATATGCGAATGTTGCCAATTACATAATTTATTCAATTAATAAGAACAATAATATTAAATACTGGCCAGTTGCAGCATAATTGCTTCATAGTACAATAAAATATGTTATACAATTAATAAATAAATATTTAGTTATATTTGCATATATAATAATTCAATATGCAATACCTAGCACTTTCCAATTGGTTTCCACAATGGCTTCCAATTGGTTTTCTTTATGAGTATAAGACAATGCGGCGAATTGGCATAGCGCAACTGGAAAGCAGTCTGCTTTGTATAAATGGACGCGCAAGGTCAAGCAAAGTGCAGAGCTCCGCGAAAAGTGTGAAAATAATTTATTAAAATGTGTTAAGTGCTATTTTTTTCGAGTGCAAACTAAATGTTGAGTGATAAGTAATGCATGTGATATAATTTAAT